GTGCGGCTGCGGTCGTTTCATGCGCGAATTGTTCCTCCTATGTGTTTTGCTACGAGTGGTTGTGTCTGTGTGCGTAGTTCTATGCGGTTTTTGAATCTCTGGTTGCAGATTTCATTGGAATGGCTGCTTGGTTGTCGTTATTTGATGTTGCTACGTGCGTAAATAGGTGCAGATTTGCCCGCGAAACGCATTATAATGGTTGAATGAATGTTGCATGGGCTATGATTTTTGGGGAGGAAGCCGGGGCACAAAACCTTGTTTTTTCCGTGTAAAGTGGCTGCAGCCGGCAATGAAAGGTACCCTGTGTGTGCGGCGGGTGCGGCTGCGGTCGTTTCATGCGCGAATTGTTCCTCCTATGTGTTTTGCTACGAGTGGTTGTGTCTGTGTGCGTAGTTCTATGCGGTTTTTGAATCTCTGGTTGCAGATTTCATTGGAATGGCTGCTTGGTTGTCGTTATTTGATGTTGCTACGTGCGTAAATAGGTGCAGATTTGCCTGCGAAACGCATTAAAATTGTGGCATGAATGTTGCATGGGCTATGTTTTTGGGGAGGAAGACGGAGCACGAAACCTTATGTTTTTCCGTGTAAAGAGGCTGCATCCGGCGATGACAGATACGTCGTGTGTGCGGCGGGTGCGGCTGCGGTCGTTTCATGCGCGAATTGTTCCTCCTATGTGTGTTGTAAAAAAAAGTGGTTGTGTCTGTGTGCGTAATCTATGCGGTTTTTGAATCTCTGGCTGCAAATTGCATTGGAATGGCTGCTTGATTGTCGTCATCTGATGTTGCCGGTTTGCTACGGGATGCTGCAAAACGCATTATACTGACTGCGTCAACGTTACTCGGTGCCGCGGCTGCATGATGGGTAATACTATTGTCTTTTGCAGCTGAACAAAATAAACATCCTCTTTAAAAGTGCTTCAAAATCGTATTTTTTTTGCTTTTGGCGTGGAGATCCGGTTTTGCTTGGTCACAGTAGTACTAGGAATATGTTTGTGCAAACTTTGTAGTACACAGTAATTCTGGGAAGTGCTCTGTACAAGCTTTGCAGCACAAAGTTGTACTGGAAAATGTTTTGTGCAAGCGTTATAATACAAATTATTACTGGAACGTATTTTGCGCAAGCTTTGTAATACAAAGTAGTACTGGGAAGTAGTTTGTGCAAGCGTTGTACTACACAGCAAATACTGAGAAGTGCTTTGTGCAATCTTTTTAGTACAAAGTAGTGCTGAGAAATTTTTTGTGTAAGCTTTGTAGTACAAAGTAGTATTGGCAAGCAGTTTGTTCAAGCTCTGTTGTAGTACACAGTGGTACTGGGAACTGCTTTGTGCAATCTTTGTAATACAAAGTAACATTGGGAAATGCTTTGTGCAAGCTTTGTAGTACACAGTAATACTGGGAAGTGCTTTGTATAAGCTTTGCAGTAAAAAGTAGCACTGGGAAGAGCTTAGTGCAAATTGTGCAATACAAAGTAGTACTAGGAAGAGTTTTTTTTGCAAGCTTTGTAGTACAAAGAAGTACTGGAATGTATTTTGTAAAAGCTTGGTAGTACATAGTAGCACAAGGGAGTGTTTTGTGCAAGCATTGTAGAACAAAGTAGTACTGGGAAGTGCTTTGTGCAAGATTTGTAGACCGGAGTCGCGCGCAAGTTATGTTCTTGGACAGCAACACTGCAACAGCTTCGCACAAAGAACGCACGCACGGGCCTGCCTGGCGCACGGCGCATGCAAGTTCCTTAGCAATAGTTGGGATAAGGTGAGAAGAGTTCAGATGAGATGAAGTGTGGGGTGTGAAGGGGTGTGAAGTGAGGGGCGTAAAGAGTGCAGTGTGGAGTGTGAAGTGTGATGTGTGGACTGTGAAGTGTGAAGTATGGAGTGCGAAGTGTGAAGTGCGGACTGTGAAGTGTGGACTGTGAAGTGTGGACTGTGAAGTGTGGATTGTGAAGTGTGAAATTTGCAGTGGGAAGTGTGCAGTGTGAAGTGTGGAGTATGGAGTTCGAAGCGTGGAGTGTGAAGCGTGAAGTGCGAAGTGGGGCATCAAATGTGACATGTGCAACAAGACACCACTCTCGCAGAGTGCAGACACGCACGGGCTTGGCTGGTGCACGGCGCATGCAAGTTCTATAGATGAGACAGGTTTTATATGTATATATGGTCCCGGCCAGCAGCCGGCAACCCCCTCCCCCCCGTACGATGGACAATTCGAGGCTATTTGGCAGTTAGCAGCTAGTGTTTACATAAGAGTCGATGATAAGTAGGAGCGCTGGAGGCGCTGGAGGCGCTGGAGGCGCTGAAGGCGCTGAAGGCGCTGAGGGCGCTGAGGGCGCTGAGGGCGCTGAAGGCGCTGAGGGCGCTGGAGGCGCTGAAGGCGCTGAAGGCGCTGAGGGCGCTGAGGGCGATGAGGGCGCTGAGGGCGTTGAGGACGCTGAGGGCGCTGAAGGCGCTGAGTGCGCTGAAGGTGCTGAAGGCGCTAAGGGCGCTGAGGGCGCTGAGGGCGCTGAGGGCGCTGAGGGCGTTGAAGGTGCTGGAGGCGCTGAGGGCGCTGAGGGCGCTGGACGCGCTAAAGGCGCTGAAGGCGCTGAGGGCGCTGAGGGCGCTGAAGGCGCTGAGGGCGCTGAGGGCGCTGAGGGCGCTGAGGGCAATGGGGGCGCTGAAGGCGCTGAAGGCGCTGAAGGCGCTGAGGGCGCTGAGGGCGCTGAGAGCGCTGAGGGTGCTGAGGGCGCTGAAGGCGCTGAGGGCGCTGAGGGCGCTGAGGGCGCTGAAGGCGCTAAAGGCGCTGGAGGCGCTGAGGGCGCTGGAGGCGCTCAAGGCGCTGAGGGCGCTGAAGGCGCTGAGGGCGCTGAGGGCGCAGGCGCTGAAGGCGCTGAGGGCGCTGGAGGCGCTGGAGGCGCTGAGGGCGCTGAGGGCGCTGAGGGCGCTGGAGGCGCTGGAGGCGCTGAAGGCGCTGAAGGCGCTGAGGGCGCTGAAGGCGCTGAGGGCGCTGAAGGCGCTGAGGGCGCTGAGGGCGCTGAGGGCGATGAGGGCGCTGAAGGCGCTGAGGCCCTAATCTTCCTAGAAGCTTTGTTTTAGAGCTGGCAGCTCTAATTTGGCATTCTAGGGTCCTAGAAGCTCATTTGGGAAGCTCTAATTTAGAGCTGGCAGCTTTAAATTAGAGCTGGCAGCTCTAAATTAGAGCTTCCCAAACTTAAATTTGAGCTTCCAGGATTTTTGGTTAAAAAACCACCCTAGAAGCTCTAAAATAGAGCTTCCCAAATGAGCTTCTAGAAGCCCTATTTTTTTGGCATGCCTGCAGCCCATTTTTGCAAGAGAAAAATGAACATACACACACACATACATATTTATTTCTATATTTATATAGATAGAATATATACATGTATTTGGCAAAGGTTGCAAAGGAACCATATTTAATCAACATATATGGTCTCACATACTTTTTGATCACAACTGCAAGCTGATTTCATCGCCATGGCAAAGCTGTTGCCTGTGAAGCCTGTGGAAAGGCTGGAAAAGGACAAAGTCAAGCAGCTGGCAGCATTGATCAAAGGCTGCATACCTGATTGCAAACTTGAATACTTCCCAGCAGATCCAGAGAAAGCTTGCAATAGGCTGCAAGCCTTTCTATGTTTGTGGTACCCAGCCACAAGCAACAAGAAAGCAGATGAGAGGAAAGCTTTCTCAGAAGCCTGTGGAAGGCTGGAAAGCCATGAGGCAAAAGCGATTGTGAACAATCTTCATGAATACAAAGCTTGGCTGCTTAGAAAAAAAAGAAACTTAAAGACAGGTGACGGAACAGACCCTACCCTCATGGCCTTGTTCAATGCAATCCTGCAAAAGGATAACCAGGGAATCAATAGAAGCAGCAACACCATGAAGATGAGGGGAGAAGAAGAGCTTGAGAAAGCTAATGAAAAGCCTGTGAAAAGGCTACGAAGCAAACAGACTCTGAATGACAAAGCAGAAGACAAAGCAGAGGTGCCAAAGCCTGCAAAGGCCATATGCTTTGCTTTTGACACCCCTGGGAGCCAAAAGTCCAAAAGCTTTGACATAGTGTCTGTTTCCAGTTCCAGTGGTGGCTTTCTGGCACCTGGAGAGTTTTCAGAAGAGCCACCTGAGCCTGCAAAGGCTGGAAAGGCAGGCACAGAAAAGAAGCCTGCTGCTCATGTGCCTTGGAAAAGGCCAGCTGAAGCAAAGGTAGTAATAAAGAAGTCTGCAAAGGCTAGAAATAAGAAAGACTGGGTAGTGTCAAAAAGCTTTGGTTTCATCCATGAAACCAAGGCTTCCCAGAAAGCATGCATCAATGCAAAGCCAGAGATGGCTGACAAACCACATTGTCTAGTCAATGTTCAGCTGGCAGCAGGCCAGCTGCAGGACATGGTGATGAAGAAAGTGTTTGCAAGGCACAGGAAGAAACTATGACAAAGGCAAGCTTGGTTCACTACAAGAATGAGCTTTTGGAAGCTGGGGACAGCTCATAAATTGCAAAGCCTGTGGGAGGCTGTCAAAGTCAAGCTGGAAAGAGCTATTGAAGATGGAGACAGCTCTGTGTGAAGCTTGGGAAATGCTGAAAATTTCTGGTAAACCACCAAGGAGCTTGCAAAAGGCTACCAAGACCTATCAGCTTTCGAGTTTTGAAAAATGTAGCAGCTTGCTGCAGCAGCATCTGTAGAAATGGGAAGGGGGTCAGCTGGCAGTGCAGAAGTATGCAACTCTGCTGCATGTGCTCAAAACAGAACTTGTAGAAGATGAGGACATGGGGGGTGGGAAGGAGGAGCCTGCCGAGGCTGGTAAAAAAAAGAAAAAGAAAAAGAGAAGAAAACGCAAAAAAAAAGCAAGGGAAAGATGAGTCTGAGGATCCTGGGGATGGCCCTGATGGCCCACCAGGAGGCCCAGGAGGAGCCAGTGATGGCTCAAGAGGCTCTGGCCTGGGGCCTCCCTTGGTGGCTGCAACTTGAAAAAGCTAAGGCAGCCCAAAAAAAAAGCCTGCGGCTAGGAGTGAAAGCTTGAGAAAGGCTTAGGAGGTAGCCTGGGAAGGCTGAATGTAGGCAGCTTGGAAGAGGCTCCCAGCTGCAAACACTGCAGCTCCTGGCACAGACCAGTGAGAGTTTTTGAAAAACAGGACTGCTGCAAAGGGGAAGGGGATGGGCTGGTTGAAGACCACAAAAAAAATAGTGGCAGTAAGTAAGGGATAGGGAGTACCCACAAAAGCCGTTTGGATGGGGAAGGTTTCCTTTTTGGTTGCTGAGTTTTGCAGAAGCCTGCAAAGGCTAAAAAAAATATAAATCAATATTTTTCAATTGTGGTTTTCAGACAAAAAAGTCTGAATTTCAGACTTTCAGACTTTTTACTTTACATTTAAGTTATTAATTAAAACTATGAAAATCTAAAAGTCTGAAAGTCTGAAATTCAGACTTTTGGGACTTTTTTTCCCAGAAAATGAAGCTGATCACCAAAAATTCTGCAGCCCTTTGGCACAAACTAGAAAGGGTTTTAGGGATCTAGTCAGGCATGAAGCGGCCTGCAGCAATGATAAAACAGGAGAAGCCAACTCCCAAAAAAAAAGGCAAGAGAACAGGAGCCTGCAAAGGCTGAGTTGGGAACTGAGCCTGGAGAGGCTGAGCCTGGAGAGGCTGACAGCCAGCAAGTGGCTCCAAGCCTGAAAAGGCTTTGCCAGCAATGGCCACAGAGAAAGCCAAAGGCCTTGCCAGCTCCTAGCAAAGCACAATGGAATGATGTGCATTACACAATGAAGAAGCTTGAGAAAGCTGGCAAGATGGATTTGCCTGAGAAATGGAAGAAAGCTTGCTTGGGAGGTCACCAATGCAAGCGTGAGTTTTACTACCACACATTTCACCTAGATCCAGAGGCCAGCAAAAAAGAAGTTCATAAGATTAGCCTGGAAAGGCTTTCGGTGGAATCAACCAAGTTGAGAGGTTGGTTCACCAAATGGCAGCTTGGGGAAATGCAAGGTGCAGTCGCCACCCACCCCATGTTTGAACAGCTCTGCATAGAAGCCTGCAAAGGCTTACCTGAAAGAGATCATGAGAATGAAGCCTGGGCAAGGCTGGGTGTGAAACAATACTATTTCGAACATTTTGAAGCTGAGAAGGAAAGGCATGTGAATGAAAGTACAACTGCGGCCAAGCAAACAGTGGAAGCCTCTGACAGGCAAGATTTCCAAAAGGCAGAAAATGGCCAAGTGGTTTTTGGAAAGAAAAGCCACAAGGCTGAGGCAGCCGCCAGTGCAGGGGAAGAAAAGCCTGAGGAGGCTTACAAAAAAGCAGACCAAAGCCTGAATAAGGCTGCGAAGGCTTTCTCAAGTGCAGTTGACAAGCTGCAGTTGCTGAAGACAAGCTTGGCAAAAAAGCAGAAGGAGCAGCCCAATGCACAATTGGCTGCCAGTGTAGGTGAAATGGAAAGCTTGCAAAATCAACATGAAGACTTGAAAAGTCAGTGGGTCACCAGGCTGGCTGCAGTTGCCAGCTCATTCCCTGCTGATGCAGCCAGTGATGGCTCAGAAACTGAGAAGCTTCAGCAATGGAAGCAAGAAATTGAGGAGCAAAACAAAAGCCTGGGTAAGGCTTTGAACCCACACAGATTGTGGGCCAAGAATGCAGGTTTCATTTAAACCATGCGGCCTGCACAAGTTTTGGGGAGGGATTGAAGCCTGGAAAGACTGCTAAAAGTGTTGCACATAGTAGAAGCTTGGAAAAGGCTCGACCGAACCTGCAAAGACAGGTACATAGCAACTTGTGCCCCTGCTGGAAAAAAGAAAGCAGCAGCTGCTGCTGCTGCTGCTTTTGCTAGGTAACTGTGTGCACATGTTCAGCAGGTCAAACAAAGGTTTGCTGGCACTGCCAGGTGAGCTCCAAATTGCTTTTTTCCTCGCAGCCACTTTAACTTCAAGCATGAAGCTCTGGTTTGTTCTAAAAGTTTTTTCTGCATGTTTTTTTCTCTAAATGGCTACAAATTTGTTAGCCAATACCTGGCTCTAGAAGAGCATGCTGTAACTTGGGACCTGCAAAGGCTTGCACCCTAAAGATGTATGGAACTATCGAGATGAAACATTTGGGTATACAATGCAGCAGCTATGGTTCAGAAGAGGTGGCAAAACCAAGAGCCCCAAAGTCGAAAGTGAATCAGTTTTGCTAAGGTTGGCAAACAGCACAGAGACCTGGAGCTTGCAAAAGGCTATGGAAGCAAAGCTTGAAAAAGCTAACAGGGAAGCCTGAGAGAGGCTTAATGTATGAGAGCCAATGAGCTCCAAGACTGTCGTGAATGCCAGAAAAAGAAGCTGCTGCTGTGTGCAACATGGTGAACATATGTAATACATGATCAATGTTAAAATCTGAAGAAAACATTGCCTGGAGAAGCTCTAAATTAGAGCTTCTAGAAGCTCTAATCTAGAGCTTCTAGAGAAGATTTATCATTGCTCTAGAAGCTCTAAATTAGAGCTTCTAGTGATTTTTGCTAGAAGCTCGAATTTAGCGCTGCCAGCGCTAAATTTGAGCTTCTCATTTTTGAGCTTCTAGAAAAGAGCTTCTAGGAAGATTAGGGGGGCGCTGAAGGCGCTGAGGGCGCTGAGGGCGCTGAGAGCGCTGAGGGCGCTGAGGGCGCTGAAGGCGCTGCGGGCGCTGAAGGCGCTGCGGCTGAGGGTGCTGAGGGCGCTGGAGGCGCTGAGGGCGCTGAAGGCGCTGAGGGCGCTGAGGGCGCTGAGGGCGCTGAAGGCGCTGAAGGCGCTGAAGGCGCTGGAGGCGCTGAGGGCGCTGAGGGCGGTGCGGGCGCTGAGGGCGCTGGAGGCGCTGGAGGCGCTGAGGGCGCTGAGGGCGCTGAGGGCGCTGAATGCGCTGAGGGCGCTGAGGGCGCTAAGGGCGCTGAAGGCGCTGAGGGCGCTGGATGCGCTGAAGGCGCTGAAGGCGCTGAGGGCGCTGAAGGCGCTGAGGGCGCTGAGGGCGCTGAGGGCGTTGAGGGCGCTGAGGGCGCTGAGGGCGCTGGAGGTGCTGGAGGCGCTGGAGGCGTTCGAGAAATTCTTTATCAAGCCGATCTGCTTGATATTATCTTTCTCATATTGCGTTTGGCCTTCGCTACTGATGTTGTGCTTCTTGATTTTCTTGATGTTCGAAGTTGTTATGCCATATGCTCTTTGGTCTTGTCTTTATGATGATACGTTGCTTGATCTTCTCTGCCTCATGCTACGCTGCTTGACCTTCCCTGCCTCATGATGTTTGATGTCTTCTTCACCACGTTATTCTTTTTGATCTTGTCTTCGTGTTTTTTACGCTGCTTGATCTTCTCTACATCAAGCCACACTGCTTGCCTTTAACAAAGCCATGTTTTGCTGCTTGGTCTTCTCTGTATCATGTTAGGGTACCGGATCTTGTCTTTATGATGCCAGGCTGCTTGCTCTTATCTACTTCATGCTGCGCTGCTTCACCCTCCCTACCTCATGTCAAACTGCTTGATGTCGTGTACATCAGGTTATGAAATTTGATCTGTTCTTCATGATGCTAGGCTGCTTGGTCTTCTCTATCTCCTGTTACGCTGCTGGGCCTTCCCACCTCATGTCAGGCTGCTTGATGTCCCCTAAATCGTGTTATGCTTTTTGTTTTTGTTTCACGCTGCACGCTGCTGCATTGTTTGATCTTATCCTCCTCATGCTACGCTGCTTCACCACCCGCCCTACCTCCTGTTGCTTGGTGTTTTCGACATCAGATCTTTGACTTTTGATAGTTTGATCTTGCCTTGGCGATGCTACACTGCTCGACCTTGACTACCTCATGTTGCGCTGCCTGATGTCCCCTACATCAGGTTGTGCTTTTTGATCTGGTCCGCATGGTGCTAGGCTGCTTGATCTTCTCCGCCTCATGCTGCCGCTTGATCTCCCCTGCCTATCCCTGCGTCATGTTAAGCTGCTTAATCTTCTCTGAATCATGTTGTGCTACTCGATCTGGTCTTCATAATGCCACGCTGCTTGATTGTCTCTACCTCATGCTACGCTGCTGAACCTTCCCTACCGCATGTTATGTTTCTTGGTGTTCCCTGTGCCATGTTATGCTGTTTGATCTTGCCATCAAGACGGTGCGCTGCTTGATCTTTTATACCTCATGCTACGTTCTTGACCTTCCTTTGTTATGTTGCTTGTGTTCTTTTTATATATTGTTGAGTTTTTTGTCTGGTCTTCATGCTGCTACGCTGCTTGACCTTCTCTACCTCTTGTTAGGCTTCTTGGGCTTCCCTACCTCATGTGATGCTGCTTAATGTGCTCTGTATCATACTGTGCTATTCGGTCTTGCCCTCACGATGCTACGCTGCATGATTCCCTACGTCAAACTACACTGCTTGACCTTCCCGAACTGATGTTATGCTGCTTAATGTTGTTACATCAGATCGTGTTACGCTGTTTGGTCTTGTCTTCATGATGCTACGCTGCTTGGTCTTCTCTACATCATGCCTTGCTACACAGCGAATGAATTTATCAGCAAAGGTTTTAGCACCCAAAACTATGCTGGGAGCACAAGTTTTTCGTGTTTGGCATCAGCAGCGTCACTAGTTGCCATTTTCTGGTTTCAGCTAGAAAAAAGCGCTGGCGAGGTGAGGCGCCCAAAATTGCAGATTCTGTGACGGAACTGATGGTCAAAAGACAACAGTAACAACTCACTTTCATCAAGCAGAAACCAACTCCCTGCCAAAGCGTGCACAAGCGCTCTGCCAAAGCGTGCACAAGCGCTCTTGGAACCAAGAGACGGGCACGACTTCAAACCTTTCGCTGTCAAGCAAACGCCGCGCAGCACTTGGTAAGTCTTGTGTATATTCTATCCGCCAAATAAACGCTAAGTGTCCATAGCACCCCCCCCAATGGTATCCCCCCCGGTATCCCCCCCTGCATACATACATACAGGCCTACCTACCTACCTACGTACATACATACATACATAAATACATACACACATACATACTTGCATACCTACATACATACATACATACATACATACAGACATACATACATACATAAATACATACACACATAGATACATGCCTACCTACCAACCTACGTAGGTACGTACATACTACACCCACCCCACCCCACAGGGGGGGGCGGGGAAGCATAAATACATACATACATACATACGTACATACGTACATACATAAATAAATACATACATACACACATACATACATGCCTATACCTACCAACCTACGTTAGGTACATACATACTACACCCACCCCACCCCACGGGGGGGGGCCGGGAAGCATACATACATACATACATAAAAAAATAAATACATACATACATACATACATAAATACATACATACACACATACATACATGCCTATACCTACCAACCTACGTAGGTACATACATACTACACCCACCCCACCCCACAGGGGGGGCGGGGAAGCATAAATACATACATACATACATAAATACATACATACACACATACATACATGCCTATACCTACCAACCTACGTAGGTACATACATACTACACCCAACCCACCCCACAGGGGGGGGCGGGGAAGCAGAGATACCTTGCATTGCTGCATGATAGTTGGATTCCAGGGAGATAGTACACCCAACCCTAGGAACCATCACCATCGCGGGGGGGGAGGGGGGGGTTGCAGGCCTGTACCATATATATCTTTAAGGCAACTTCCGCCCCGCCTCGTGCGGGTACTACTGGTATATATATATATATATATTTTTTTTTCCCGCAGCATGGCTCAAGGCATTTGGCCGGCGGTCTCCGCAGCCGGTTAGTCGCTTTGGACTGCCGGGTCAGCGCCTACGCACTCCCAAGAGGCAGACGGCTCGGCCCGGTAGCGGGGGCTAAGCCGACGATGTCTGCCAGCCGCAGGCCGTCGTCGGCAATGGCTGTGGCCGGGAGAAGCCATTCGCCGCTCAGGGCCGTGGTGGCGACTGCTTGCTGGACGGCGACGCTGAGCAAGCTCCACCAGCGGCGGCGCCAACCGCTTGCGGCGCTGGCGCGCACAGCCGGAGGCGCTCGGGGAGCACGGGTTTGCACCAAGAGGCGGAGGAGTACCTCGCAGTTGCGGTGCCAGCGGCCTCCCACCTCACAGGCCAGAACAAGAAGGCGCTGCGGTCCCGGGCCCAGGAGCTCGGGGTACCGGAGTTCCTTGCGCCGGCGCGCGGCATTGAGGGCCGCGCCGTCCGTTCGGTGGGACTGGTGTGCAGGCATGGCTTGCCGTGTGAGCGGGCTGACGAGGGTGGCGTCACAACACAATGCTTCGCCATGAGGGGTTGCGCCATGGACAACCATGTCGAGACGACGTTGATCGTCTGAGGGGACAGTGGCCGGTGTGGCAGCGAGGCCTGCTGTGGGATGACGCGTCCCTCTGGGCCAACGGCCTCACGAGCAACCCGGACCCAAGCCCGTTCAACAATGCCGGCGCGGCGGCCGAGCGCACCGCTGCATGGGCATGCCAGCGCATGGTCCCCGAGGGAGTCGAGGGCAGCGCCACAGCCAGGGGCAAGGCTGCCGGCTCCGCACCTGTGGCGTGCCAAGGGCAAGGGCAGCCGGAGACGGCGGCGGAGCGCCGTGTGCATTTATTTGCAGCGGGCGGAGGGTGAGCCCTGGGTCGCTGGGTATGGCTGTAAGCCAAGCGCCGGCATGCGGCCCGGCCTGCGAGCGGAGGAGAGCTTGCCCGGGGGCGGCCAAAGAAGGAAGCAGGGTGTGCTCGCGGTAGGATGTGAGAAGTGCGAGCGAAGCAGCATGCTGCCAGCCATGGGGTCGGGCAGATGGGGAGGTGCAGCGGCGGGTTGGAGAAAGGTGGGCCAGGGCGGGCAAGCCAAGCAGCCCAGCCGAGGCGCTGGGCGGCTGCTGCGCCTGCTCGGAATGTGGCGCCAGACGAGGCCTCGCCAAGGATGAGCTCGTCGACGCATCGGGCCGCAAGGGCCGGGTCGCGTTGGGCGATGACCGGCAAGGAATCGGCCCACCCGGCGTAATAGGCGGCGTCCGCGACCCGCGAAGCCGAGAAGAGGCCGAGGCCGCCGAGGCGAGCCGGCAGGAAAGCGAGGGCGGCCGAGTGGCGCGCGGTGGCCGGGTCGACGTTGAGCAGACAGCACAGCGTGCGCCAGATGTACGCATCGTGGTTGGTTGCGTGTTGTCCCCGACCACAACGTTCAACCGTCCCTTCGTAAACCATGGGACCCCCATAAAAATGGGCCGCAAACCGTGCAGACGCAGGGGCGTGCTGTTGAGCATCCTGAAGAAATTCATTCCTGATGTCTTTTTGTAAAAGACATAATTGTTTCGTTGTCTATTCTGGTGGATCCAATGGCGTGCAGCATGCACCATGACTTCGGCCCCACAGGAACTTTGTCCCGAATACTTTGTTTATCCAAAACTAAAGAACATTTAAAAGAACTTTTACGCCATGTCACTCCCATGACAATTGGTCTGGCATCCGGGTCCAAAGGAATGAGGTTACCTTGAGGGTCAACCTTACCAATACCAATTAGTTGTCCACACCCCAGCCACCGCCCCAGGTGCGCAGGAGCCAACGCATCACCAGCAATTGCACCAAGTCCCGGTAAAGAGGCAAGATACGTCATCCTCGTCATTCCCCATTAATGCCTTAAGCAAATCTTCTCCGGATGACATTCGCCAAGGGGTATGGGGATGGTGGGTGGGGGGGCATGTGCAAGGTGTCGGCAGGCGGGGGTATGGGGAGGGAGGGGTGGGAATTTGGCTAAAAGTTTCTGCTTGACCTGGTGGGGGGAGGACCTAGTTCCTTTGGCTATGACACCTCGGGTGGGTTTGCCCCTGCACTCGGGTACTTATGGTCAAGCCACAGACGTTGCAGCAGCCCAACCTTTTGACCTGGAACCGCGATTCGGTGGGACGCCCTGGCAACTCGCCGGAAAGGTGTTGGTCGACATGAGAGCGAAGACTCCCAATGGTACCCCACCCCGGACGGTTGCCTCCAGCATGGCGACAGCACCCAACGACCGGACAGGTGTGATGATGCCCCCCAAAATCTGCCCGCAGCAGTTCGTCCACGGACATGTCCTCACCAAAGACTGCCCGCAACTCTTCCTCCACACCTGCCGGAAGGGGGGGACTCCGGTTGCAGGAAGAGGGGATTGTGCAGGACCCAGAACAGGTAGAGGAGTTTCCCCATGCAGGAAGGCCAGCCACGCAGCAACAGCCACGTCAGGACCCCAGACAAGAGGCGACAGCGGGTGCGGGGGAAGTGGTTGTTAACCCAGAAGACGAGAACCAAGAGAGCGACCGGGAAATGGGATGAGGAAGAGTTGAAAATCGAGGAGGACGCCAGCAGGAGCAAGTCCATCCCGGGCAATTCCCACACCCGGCAGCACAGCAAGCACACAGGGTGGCTGAGGCCAACGCAAAACAAAGAAAGGTCCACCCCACCCCCGCCACCAGTGGTGCCGATGCCTCCCGTGGCAACCGCCCCAACCGGACACATCGCACAAGACCGGAGGTGGTGAAGGTAGAACAAGGCATCGGGGGAAGTGAGAGGTGTTTTGTTGGGTGAACCTTGTACGCCCCTGTCACGGCCGCCGCCTGGGAGGTGGCCGCCCATGCACACCCACTGAGCCCTGCTCCCGGCCAGACAAGTTCCTAGTAGCAAACCCAGCAGCAGAAGCCCTGCCGCCCCGCGACGCTGCATGTTTTTGCCACCCCGCAACGTCAGCGCCCCGCAGCTGGCACCCCAGCGCCCGGCATGCGCGACATGGCGCGAGCGTTATGATGATTAATCAAAAACTGAATTTTTGTTGGTTAACTTTCCATGTTGGTTGATCTAATGCATCTTAGATGTTTAAATTTTAGATCCACAAAAAACTATTTTAAACTGTTCAAATCGCTTTTTTTGGGTTCAACCGCGGTTAACTTACCATTTTCTCCGTTTTGGGACCCGGTTTGGTTGTCGACACCGAACTCGTGGTCGTTTCTTCGACGTCGCGTGTTTCTCAGGTCCTCCTGCCGCGTCCACGGCGACGATGGTATGGGCTTTTTGGTGGCTACCAGGGCTACAGAAGAGGCGATCGGATGGAGATTTTGATGTGAAAATCATCTGGTTAAATATCTGATTGGAACCATTTTACATTATTTTTGGTTTTGCGTGGCAAGGCTGGTTTTTAGTCGCCCGTGAAGGCGGGCAAGGCTGGTTACGTGGCACTTTGCGGGGAAGGCGTGGCAAAATGTCATATCCACCTTCGTTTTGAATGGCAGGCGTGGCACTTAGGGCACTGGGTGGCGCACTTGGACTGGTTTTAGTGGTCAGTGACGCCCCGGCGGTTTGCGTGGCAGGCGTGACACAATCTCACATCCACTGTCGTTTTTCGTGGCAGGCGTGGCGCAATCTCACATCCATTTTCGTTTTTGGGTGGCAGGCGTGATGCCCATGTGACATCCACCTTGGTTTCTCAGACCATCTGACTGACATCTTTGTCACACACCATCTGTCACATACCATTTTTGTCACACACTATCTGTCTCAACGTCGCTTTGACTGAAGCAAAAGCGACTGGAGCAGAAAACCCAATTGATGTTTCGTTTGCAGGTATGTTTACCTATCTGTATCTCCGGCCTGTTCCGGCATGTTTGCTTTTCTGTCGTATTTAATTCAAATAAAATCGACTGGACCAGAAAACTTTTTGGGCATTCAATTCATGTTTCTTTTGCGGGCATGTTACGTAGCTATGTAGTTACGTGTCTGGCATGTTTCTTGCTTTTTATTCTGTAATCCGGGTCGCTTCCGCCCCGCCACGTGAAACACAAAAAAGATGTCACCAAGTGCCAGGCCTGCCACGCAAAGTGCCGCGGCGTCACGGGCAACTGAAAACAGGCCCAAGCGCGCTACCCAGTGCCATAAGTGCCACGCTTGCCACGCAAAACAAAGCTGGATGTGACATCGAACAAGACAAGGCGGGAGAAGGAGGCGGCGCCCAGAATACAGAATCAAAAGCAAAAGCCCCACACAACTTTGTCTGGCATGTCAGATGACAAAAACCCCATATGAGATGGTGCCACGCCTGCCACGTGAAACAAAGAGGGATGTCACCTTGCGCCATGTCTGCCACGAAAAGTTCTACGGCGTCACGGGCGACCAAAACAAGCCCAAGCGCGCCCCCCAGTGCCATAAGTGCCATGCCTGCCACGCAAAACTAAGGTGGATGTGAAACGACGGTGGATGTGAGATTGTGCCACGCAAAGTGCCGCATAAGTACGACGACTGCCAAGCAAAACGAAGGTGGATGTGAGATGGTGCCACGCCTACCACATGAAATCAAGATTGATCTCACCTTGTGCCACGCGTGACACGCAAAGTGCCGCTGCGTCACGGGCGACCAAAACCAGCCCAAGCGCGCCACCCAGTGCCATGGATGCCACGCCTGCCGTCACGGGCGATGAAATTCCGCCCAAGCGCGCCACCCAGTGCCATAAGTGCCATGCCTGCCACGCAAAACGAAGGTGGATGTGAGATTGTGCCACGCCTGCCACGCAAAACGGAGGCGGATATGAGATTGTACCACGCCTGCCACGCAAAACCAAGCTGTATGTAAGATTGTGCCATGTCTCTCAAGAAAAGTACCGCGGTGTTAGGAGCAACCAAAACCAGCCCAAGCGCGCCACCCAGTGCCATAAGTGCCACGACTGCCACGCACAACCAAGGTGAATGTACGATGGTGCCACGCTGGGCACGTGAAACCAAGGTGGATGTCTTCTTGTGACACGCCTGTCATGAAAAGTACCGCGGCGTTACGGGTGACCAAAACCAGCCCAAGCGCGCCACCCAGTGCCATAAGTACCACGCCCGCCACGCAAAACGATGGGGGATGTGAGATTGTGCCATGCCTGCCACGCAAAGTGGCGCGGCGTCACGGGCGACCAAAACCAGCCCAAACGCGCCACCCAGCGCCATGAGTGCCGCGCCTGCCACGCAAAACCAAGAGAAATGTGAGATGGGGCAGATGGTGTTTTACAAAGTTGTTTGTGAAATTATTGTGTGTGAAAGATGGTGTGTGCAAGATGGTGGTTGAGATATGGTGTGCGACAAAGTTGTGTGAGAAGTTATTGTAGGTGAAAGATTGTCTGTGAAAGATGGTAAGTAACTGCAAGATGGTGGTTGAGAGATGGTGTGTGATAAAGATATGTGTGAAGTTATTGTGTGTGAAAGATGGTCTGTGCAAGATGGTGGTTGACAGATGGTGTGTGACGTTATTGTGTGTGAAAGATGGTGTGTGACAAAGTTGGTATGACGAGGCCGAAGAAGTGGAGGAGGCGGAGGAGGCGGAAGAGGCGGAAGAGGCGGAGGAGGCGGAGGAGGCTCGGGATAAAGAATCAAGAACAAGAATCCCACACAAAGTTATCGGGAATAATTAAAGGAGGGGGGCAATCCACAAGTCAATTGCTTCCTGCAATCAGAAAAAGTGATTGAAGCGGCACGAAGAAAGAAAAAACGACAAAGGAAATAGTGGAGGGTAAGAGCTGTGTGTGAAGATTTGTGTGTGACAATGTTGTGTGTGAAAGAGTTGCATGTGAAAAAATGTCAAAGATAGTGCGTGAAAGAGGTGTGTGAAAGATTGCGTATGAAAAAGTTGTGTGTGAAAGATTTTCTGTGACAAAGTTGTATAAAATTGTGAAAAAGTTGTGCGTGACAAAATTGTATGTGATAAAGTTGTTTGTGACAAAGTTGTGTAGAAAGGAATTATTTGCGACAAAGTTGTGTGTGAGAAAAATGTATGCGAGAGAGAAGTCATATGAGACAGAGATGTAAGTGTCAGAATGTATGCGACAAAGTTGCGGGTGACAAAGTTATCTGTAAGAAAGATATGCGGAAAAATATTTTCCAAATACCATATCTACCACGCGCAACGAAGGTGGATCTTATCAAAAGCCACGCCTACCACGCAAAAGACCGCAGCGTCACGGGTGACTAATCGCGCCCAAGCGTGCCGCCAGAGCCAGCCCAGTGCCACACCTGCTACGTGAAATAGAGGTGGTTTTCGTCAATTGCTACACATATCATATAAAATACCGCGGCATCACGGGTAACTAAACGCGCCCAAGCGCGCCGCCGGAGCCAGCCCAGTGCCGCAAATACCATGCCTACGATATAAAATGAAGATGAATTTCGTCCAATTACCAAACCTTCCACGGAAATGGAACGTCGATGTTACCAAGTGCCAAGCCTGCCACTAAAAGATGGTGCGTAACAAAGATGGTGTGTGAAAGAGAGTGTGTGACAAATATGGTGAATGAAAGAGAGTGTGTAGGTAATAAATTTGTATGTGAAAAGATGGTGTGTGACAAATGTGTATGTATATAACAAAAGGACCGGATAACCCCACATGTCAAGCCTTTATGTATGTAAGATTTTAATGTGAACTTCGGGGAGGTGTGAGAAGTGAGGTGTGAGAAGTGGACTTGTGATGTCAGGTGTGAGAAGTGGAGCTGTGATGAGTTCTGATGTGATAAGTGAGGTGTGAGAAGGGGTGTGAGAAGTGGAGCTATGATGGGATAAGTTGTGATAAGTTGTGATGAGAAGTTGTGATGTGATCAGGGAGCTGTGAGAGCGAGGTGTGAGAAGTGGAACTGTGATGAGTTGGGATGTGATAAATTGTGATGAGTTGTGATGAGAAGTGGACCTGTGAGAAGTGGAGCTGTGATGAGTTGTGATGAGCAGTGGAGCTGTGATGAGTGAGGTGTGAGAAGTGGAGCTGTGATGAGTTGGTATGTGATAAGTTGTGATGAGAAGTGGACCTGTGAGAAGTGGAGCTGTGATGAGTTGTGATGAGCAGTGGAGCTGTGATGAGTGAGGTGTGAGAAGTGGAGCCGTGATGAGTTGGTATGTGATAAATTGTGATGAGAAGTGGACCTGTGAGAAGTGGAGCTGTGATGAGTTGTGATGAGCAGTGGAGCTGTGATGAGTGAGGTGTGAGAAGTGGAGCTGTGATGAGTTGGTATGTGATAAGTTGTGATGAGAAGTGGACCTGTGAGTGGAGCTGTGATGAGTGAGGTGTGAGAAGTGGAGCTGTGATGAGTTGGTATGTGATAAGTTGTGATGAGTTGTGTATTGCGCCTGCCACGCCAAAGGCAGCCAGGAAGCCATCTGTACTGCGCCTGCCACGCGACAGCCAGCCGCGGGCCAGCGGCGCCCACGCGCGCCGCAGCTCCTCCAGCAGGCTCTGTGTACTGCGCCTGCCACGCCAAAGGCAGCCAGGAAGCCATCTGAACTGGGCCTGCCACACGACAGCCAGCCGCGGGCCAGCGGCGCCCACGCGCGCCACAGCTCCTCCAGGATGCTCTGTGTACTGCGCCTGCCACGCGAAAGGCAGCCAGGAAGCTCTCTGTACTGCACCTGCCACGCGAAAGCCAGCCGCGGGCCAGCGGCGCCCGCTCCTCCAGCAGGGTCTGTGTACTGCGCCTGCCACGCCAAAGGCAGGCAGGAAGCTATCTGTACAGTGAGTGAATGAGTGAGTGAGTGACGAGTGAGTGAGTGAGTGAGTGAGTGAGTGCGTGCGTGCGTGCGTGCGTGCGTGCGTGCGTGAGTGAGTGAGTGAGTGATGAGTTGTGATGAGTTGTGTATTGCGCCTGCCACGCCAAAGGCAGCCAGGAAGCCATCTGTACTGCGCCTGCCACGCGACAGCCAGCCGCGGGCCAGCGGCGCCCACGCGCGCCGCAGCTCCTCCAGCAGGCTCTGTGTACTGCGCCTGCCACGCCAAAGGCAGCCAGGAAGCTATCTGTACAGTGAGTGAATGAGTGAGTGAGTGAGTGAGTGATGCACGCAATTGGCATCTCAAGTGATGAGTGAGGATGAGATGTGAGTGAGATGAGATGTGAATGAGGGAGATAGGGAATGAGTGATGAGTGATGAGTGTGAGTGAGGAGGAGGCGGCGGAGGAGGAGGGGGCGGAGGAGCGGAGCCCCGGCGGGATCCAAGCGAAAAACAAGAACCCCACACAGTGATGCGGGGAAAAATAATATGTAATAAATATGAAAAAGATAGTTTGTAACAAAGTTGTGTATGGTATGTAAAAGATAATGTTATAAAAATGG